ACAGCGCTGCTAAAATATGAGGTATCCGGGTAAGACCTCAAGTCTGCCCCAACTCAAAAGTGCTGCAGTTGGCTGAAGTCAGCCATCTAGCCACTTTGCAGAGTGGGGAGCTGTCCTTTTCCCACCTTGTATAGGACACTAGTAACCATCTTCATTCAGAGGATTTCAGGCATCAACAAAGGATTGTGCCCTAAGACACTGAATGCATTTCATAAGGAAAAAAAAAGATTTATTCTTCCAAAGCAGGGTTGCCATTTTCACTGGAAGAGATAAAAGATAAAAAGACTTTGAGAAATTTTAATTTTTCTTCTGTTTTCTGATGTTAATTTTTCTTTTCCATTCCTTTCTCAGTCTCTATTTTCCTTCTGTCCTTGCTTCCTTCTTCCTTCCTTCCTTCCTTCCTTCCTTCCTTCCTTCCTTCCTTCCTTCTCTGAAATATTCTGGTTTCTCAGACAGCTTCAAAGAATATGGTGGATGTCTCTTATTTCAGAATCCTGCAGCTTCCTTTAATTTATTTCCCACCTTTGACCAATAAACTGGCAACTTATGTCCTGATGTAAATAAAAACTTGTCTGAAACAGAAACAAAACATATACATTAGAAGTAAAAACATGACAGTAACAATATAAATAACTCAACAGACTGGCTGCCACACCAAAGGCCTGCTTGAAATAAAAATACATTTGCCTATGGGCAGAAGAAAGCATAACAACCTAGCCTTTATCTGCAGGGTGGAAGCCAACCTAGTCTTTATCTACAGGAAGTTTGGCAAGTCATGGACATAGCCCATCCAGAAAATTGTTTTTTTTTTTCAGCCATCAGTACTAAGAAATGGACTCTTGAAGATCATACTGTTGGTGCTTATCTTTAAAGCCCTAAACAACTTAACCTTAAGAAATAACTCCTAACACATCTAAGTTTGTCAGGTGGGGTGCTGTTTCCTGAGTGCCCTCAGTAAAAGACATTTCTTTAGAGGCACCGCATCTTTAGAATGCCATCCTGAAGGTGATTCTGCTGTTGCAAGTTTGTATTCCTTCCAGCAGGAGGTTGAAAATTTCCTCAGCGTTTTAAGGTTATTTATGATTTAGTTGCATTGTGGGATTTTTAGCTGTGTGCTGAGTTTTTGTTTACTTTCTTCCAGTTTTGAGGATTGATGCTTTATTTCAGTTTTATTAGATGGTATGTGCAGTTTTATGTTTGTGCATATCCTGTCCTCCAGTAGCCTCCTTTCGTGGTAACATGGTCTATAATCTTTCTTAAATAAGAGTGGTCACACTACACACACTATTGAATTCTTAGCAGGTAGCTCTCTTTGTGTTTTTGTTTTCCTCAAAGCTAACCATGAAGGAGGCCAAATCTGAATTGGAATTGGAACAGGAGAGGTTGATGTTCTTTCCTCCCCAACAGCAACTCCCCCCCGCAAAAAAAATCTACCCATACAGAGCAATTCACACTAATAATAGTACCCATTTGGGTCCAGTTCCTTGGGTCCAACCAGGTTATGCATGCTGAGCTTGTAAAAGTCTGGGTTTGAATCCCTGTACTTTCAACTGTTTATGGAAATGGATTGGGATTATCTCCTCTTTCTTTCTGACAGGTTCCTCATCTTTAACTGCTACATTTTAGGCAGGTATATAATGAATTTATTTCAATTTTCTGCTGCTAAATAGCAAAAAAATCTCTGGTTACTCCATGCTGAGATTAGCTGTGTCTAATTTGAATTTGGACAGTATGGATGGAGAATTATGTTCCAGCTTAGTTCTGATTTGAATTTCCCAGAATTCATAAGCATGCTCATTTTAGGGAGGGAAAGGCTGAGATTTAAATGCAGAAGAAGTCAATCTGACAGATGTGTCCATCCATGCTCAAATGGTGGCCTACTCTTCCTTTTGAGCTACCTTTTTATTCGAAAGATCACAGAGAAGCTCCCAGGCAGTTCTTACCAGTTTGCACAGGGACGTGGTGCTTGCTTTGCATCTACTCTCCCAGCCTAGAAGTACCAGCAGCTGCTATGTCATTTAGCTAACACTTGCACTCACAACTCCATGGAGGCTCTGCTCTCCCACTCGCTCTGTGGTATCTGTAATACCAGGTCAAGAATACGGGATATAGGGAATTTTCATTCCTCTTTGACTGGGATACAGCAATCCTGGTCCAAGTAAGGCCATACATGCTTGAAGGACGGTGAGTCCAAAACATCTGAGGGGTGCCAGATTGCCTAGTTCTGCTGTAGAGAATTCAGAGCAGTGAAGGAGGTACAGTATGTGGCCCTTCAGATACTCTTGGATTGCAACTCCAAGAGAGTTGCAACTGGAGAGCCGGTGTGGTGTCGTGGTTAAGAGCATGGGACTGGGATTCAGACGATCTGGGTTCTGGTCCCCGCTCAGCCATGGAGCCAACTGGGTGACTTTGGGCCAGTCGCAGACTCTCAGCCCAACCTACCTCACAGGGTTGTTGTTGTGGGGATAAGATGGAGGAGGAGAGATGATGTAAGCTGCCTTGAGCCCTTTGTAGGAAAAAGGCAGGATATAAATCAATCAATCAATCAATCAAATAAACTTCCACTGACCCTAGGCTGTATGGCCAAGGCTGAGGGGTGATAAGAGTTGCAATAAACCATTGGTTACCCATCTGTGAACTGTGGGTGGAGCGGCGGGGGGGTGGTGATTGCCAGGACTTGAAAGATTCTAGACTGCATTGCCAAGGTCTCAGCACAAACTTCTACCTTTCTCTAACCAGCTCCTCTACTAATGGCAGAAATCTTCAGATATGATTCCACAGCACCTAGGTTCAGTCTCGTGACACCTGTCATGGCATTGAGCAATTGTGTAAAGGCTGAAGAAATAACTTTTTAGGAGCCAGTCATTAGACATTTATGCACCAGAAATTATTTAAATTCCCTGGCACCAGCCTCCTGCTTTAAAGAGTCTAAGCCTTCTGAGATGTGGTTTAATCCATTCTTCATGGTAGTTTGTTTTGGCCATTATTGAGTATGATTTTATTAACTTCACAATGGAAAAAGCTTTAAGCAATCTATTTGAAATCATGTTTACTTAAATAAAGGGCTCCCCAAAATGAACCCCTTTTTGGAATGCCATTTAGTCATTTATTGATTCTGCAAGTAGGCCCCGTGTATCTCTTCTGCATAAGCTGCCTTGTTTCTCCAGCTAAATGGCTAAAAGGCATTTATATTACATGCATTTTTAAAATGTTTACATTGCAAGTTCTTTATGCATCTGAATCTTTCCGTATGGTGCAATTCTGAAATGAACAGTGATCACATGATTCTCTTGTGGCACAGCTGCCAAAGCAAGGTGGGTGGGGAGAAAAAAATAACTTTATTTGCCTAATGCATTATGAGAGAATCACCCAGAAAAGTAATGATTTACTTTGCAGTTGGGAGGCTGAGAATCTGTTCTTCCATTACAGAGTGTGTGTTGAAAATTTATAGTCTTTCAGTAAGGGATAAAAATCCAAAGAAGTGCAGTGGCTGAATCACAGCCTCCTGTTACGAGTATCCTTATTAAGGAGAAAACTGGAGAAGCTAATGGGTGGATTCCAATGTGCATTGGAGTGTTTCTGAAGGATTAATTTCTGGAAAAAAGAGACAATGTACAGTGCAAGAAGTAAAGCAGTAAATGACACTGTAGTTATGAAGGCAGTTTTTCCCTCTCACTTTCCATTCATACTTTGGATTACATTCACACTTGGCCTCTTTTGGCTTACAAGACAGACTGTAAACCTGGAGTATTGTCCCATTGATGAAAGTAGGATTTGCTGCTTGATAGATGCCAGAGGATTCCAGCCCAGACATCCAGGGGTAACAAAGGTTGTTCCAATGTCACAAGGCAGGTATGTGACACGCGTGGGAAGGGCTGAACATAAGCTTGACGAAATTGTTCTTCTTTCCTTTATTCTAAGAAATGGTGTTCATCAGATCATGAAGACAGTTAAGCAATACATTCCTAGTGATGTAATGTTTTCTGGACATAGCAAAGACTCGCTGTCCCTTGTTATTGTGGTTTTTCTATATTTTGCTAAATTAGGGCTCTTTTTTGAGGGACATCTACATTAAGAAACCTTGAGTGCCTGAATACACATTTTCTATGGGCTAAAGTTAGTTTTAACTTGTTGCCCTTCGCTTGCAGCAAGCTGGAGTTAGCTTCTGCCAAACTCGTCCTCTTACGAGTGATTTGGTTTCAGCTACTTCAGTGACATGGATGCATGTCAGGGTAAATGCATCCATGGCCTCCTGATTCAAGCATTACCTCTAGAATCAAAGGGCACAACACACTGTTTTCACTCTTTCTGTGCAGTCTTGTCCAACAAGAGGGTTATACCCAGTTGACAAAGTAGTTGAAGTACTGATCACATTCTATGCATAGGAATAAAGAAAAACAAAGGCTAACATTGTGGAAGCTTTTTTCCCCACTTATAACTCCTCCAGTTATATTTAGGTACTCTACTAAAATAGTTAAGATATCCAGGTGTCCATTTTTGTATTTTGATGATTTAATTTTCTGTCTGCTGCAGCTGTTCCTGAAGCTCATAGTCCTGCTGGCATTTTCTCATTCTTCTTCTCAATTTTGCTTACATCGAACTCCCGCATCTTCCAGTTCCTACTTCCATGCCCTATTTTGTGTTTGAATATAGTCCATGAGGTCCCACCCATCTACCTCTAATGCTCGATCCATCTTTTTCCTTCTGTCCCTTACTAGGTTGAGCACATGCCCTAGGCCAGACCTGAATCATAGGATGTGCTTTCCATTAATTTCTTCTGCAAAGATAGTATTTCCAACAAAGTGCCATTCTAGCCATTTGTATAGATTTTTCTAGTAAGTAGTAAGTGGTTATCTTTTTGGATAGAAGAATAACATGGCTATTCTGTTTCAGAATAAACTGTTGTACAGTAATCCCAAATTAACATCCTCTGAGTATTATATTGATAGTTAGAGCTAAGGAAATATATTAAAACCCCCCACTTTTTTCATTTTTTATAGGTAACTTTAGGCGGAACCTTTATTGGCATTGGACGCAAAACTCCTGATTGCCAGGGCAACACCAAGTATTTCCGCTGCAAATTCTGCAATTTCACCTACATGGGTAATTCATCAACAGAGCTGGAGCAACACTTCCTGCAGACCCACCCAAACAAGATAAAATCTACTCTTCCTGCCTCTGAATCCAGCAAAGCCTCAGAGAGGAACTCAAGCAAGTCCAGTCCAATTGTTCGATCATGCGAGTCTGGAGATTTGGGAAAATGGCAGGACAAGATCACCATAAAAGCTGGGGACGATACTCCAGTTGGTTATTCGGTGCCCATCAAGCCTGTTGATTCCTCAAGACAAAACGGTACGGATGCCTCCAGTTACTACTGGTGCAAATTCTGCAGCTTTAGTTGTGAATCTTCCAGCTCGCTCAAACTGTTAGAACATTACAGCAAGCACCATGGGGGGAGCCAGGCAGGGGGCCTTCACCCAGATCGGAATGACAAGCTCTCAAGGGGGTCGGTCATTAATCATAATGACTTAGCCAAACATGCAGATGGAGAGTTAGCGGCAAAGACTGAGAAGGGCTCTAGCATGGCCAAAAAGAAAGACTTTTCCAGCTCAGGAGTGGAGGACAACGTGGTGACAAGCTACAATTGTCAGTTTTGTGATTTTAGGTACTCTAAGAGCCATGGCCCAGACGTTATAGTGGTGGGACCTCTTCTTCGTCATTATCAGCAGCTGCACAACATTCACAAGTGTACCATTAAGCACTGTCAGTTTTGTCCCCGAGGCCTCTGTAGTCCAGAAAAGCACCTTGGAGAAATTACTTATCCTTTTGCTTGCAGGAAAAGTAATTGTTCCCATTGTGCTCTCCTGCTCTTGCACTTGTCCCCTGGGATGCCAGGAGGCTCCAGAGTCAAGCACCAGTGTCACCAGTGCTCTTTCTCCACCCCTGATGTAGACGTTCTCCTGCTTCACTATGAAACCACACATGAAGCCCAGGTGTCTGAAGTCAAGCAAGAAGCAAATGCCCTGCAAGGGGTGGATGGATCGCTGACTGTCAAAGAAAGCAAAGAACACTCGTGTTCCAAATGTGACTTTGTCACTCAGGTAGAAGAGGAGATTTCTCGACACTACAGGTAAACAATGTGTATATGTGATTTTAACTTTAAACATCTCCAGGTTCATATGGCAAATTTTGCCTTTAAGAGGGCTAATTCAGATGATTTCCCTGGATGACAAAGAAATAACCATTCATTTCCCTCTTCAAGCACATAAGGTAACCAATGAATCTCTCCCCTACCTGTGGAGGATGAAGAATTAAAACCTGCAGGAAGACCTTGCATCTTAGTTACTGCTCCAAGGAGCTGCCTGCTTCTTCACCACACAAGGATGATTGGCTCTGACATGTTTGCGCTGCTTAAGAATCTTCTCCATTCTGTGAATAGGTAGATGGGTTGACTCACACCATGGGGAGGGTGTACATATGCCCCTTTTCATTTCCCCCCAGATATCGTAATTCAACTGTATCCACAGTGTGTTCAGACTGCCTGAGTCAAGACACAAAGGAGAACATGGAAAGGAATGGGTTTCAGGGGCTTCGCTGACATTTTATTTTAGATGTCAGAAGTTTGTAAGAAACACTTCAAAACTATTAGGAGGAAATTCGTTTTGTTTATTAAATGAAAATAAAAAATCTGCTACTGGGTCCGAAGATTCCCAGTAAAGAATTGCTATGATTTCTGTGAAATAGTTGTTTTATTAAACTGGAAGGGTTTTGTCTTCTTCAAGATAGGCTACAAGTCCTCAGCTCTGATGCTGGGACACACATTTTCGGAACTGGCCATTCCTAATAACATTTCTCAATTCCATTTCCAGTAATAAAACTAATAATCAAACCAGTATGGAAGATATACAGAGGAAATGTGGTATGGTGATTAGAGGGCTAGACTGGGGATCTGAGAGATCTGGGTTCTAGTCCCCACTGGGCCATGAAGATCACTGGGTGACTTTGTGCCAGGCACACACTAACAGCCTAACCTACTTCATAGGCTGTTGAGAAGATAAAGTGAACCGATGTAACTTGCTTTGGATTGCTCGGAAGAGAAAAAAAGGCAGAATATAAATGCATAAGAATAAGCAAGTCATGAAAACATTGGCCATAATTAGTTCAAGGTTAAACGTACTAAAATATCATTGGTTTCAGTATGAAATTAAACACATGCCAATCCATTTCAATTTGCTGTGGTAAAATTTCATTCCCACCCTCATGCTTAAAAAAGAGAAGAAAATCTAACAATTTACTTTGTTTTTGTTTTGGACCATGGTAAGAAAAAAGCCAAACATCAATTATCAAAGAACCAGTATATGGAACTGATTATCCTGGCTGCAGAATGATAAACCAGGATTATGGACAAGACAATCCTGGCTTATTGTGAATAAGCTGTGTGGCCTCCTGGTTTTCCTTGTTACTCAACTGTTCAAACAAACTTGTGCTCGCGCTCTCTCTCTCTCTCTCTCTCTCTCTCTCTCTCTCTCTCTCTCTCTCTCACACACACACACACACACACACACACACACACACACACACTGGCATATAGAGAAAGATTATAAGGTAAATCAAGATTATTAGTTCTAGGAAACAAAAAGGGCAGCCTGCTCCAATCTCGTCAGAAGCCTTTTTTTTTCCTGCCATGGGCTGCTCTACTACATCAAGTTATTTTCTGGAGTTCCCAAAACTTAGGGTTGACTTAGGACCAAACTAAATGTTCTTCATGTTTAGTTTGCTTTTTAAGTTGAAGCAGGGTGAAGAGTTAAAAGATAATCTAGTTGGATTCTACTGGAAATGTCTCAAAAACAACATACCCACGGGAAGTATGTGAGGACAGGGAGCTTAAATTCACCTCTCCCAAAGCAACATGGTGCTGATTGAAATTGGGGTTGTACATACTAGCATTCATTTGTAGTTCTGCCATGCATTTAGTTTGGCCCATTTTTGAGGTGGGAAGAGTTGCATCGATTTGGTTTCTTTCTTTACTCAATAATCTTGTGAAAGGTACAACATCTGGTAATATGCCCCCTGTTATACGTGGGAGTACTTTCTCAAGACCATTGCCTTTGTATACATTTATGGAAAAATCAACCATCATTGAGGCCTTCCAGTTCAATAAGGAAGAATACATTGGTTTGCCACAACATGGAGAGAGTTGTGTTCCACGAACATCCTGAGAACATGTTGACTCAATACAAGAAATAAAATGAGAGATGTCTACTGTATTACAATAATTCAGCTGAGATAAAAGTGGAAAGCACCTGGGCATTGCTCAACAGGCAGCTGTATTGACTAGATCTAAGACGTCTATAAAATAATGGCGCCTGCCGCTCGTATTTAACGAACAGCTGTGGCCCACACAAGCTGCAGGCTCCGGCATGTAATTCCCCCTCTTGATCCAAGAGGGGTGTTAGGATTAATTAGTTAAGAATTGTAAACATCTTTGAAGATGAAACGTGGTTTCAATGTTTTAGGTGGTATTATAATTTATTTTTATTATGGTAGCTCTGGGCCATATTGGAAAACCTGAAAACGCAGCGCTTTGACCACACTTTGACAGCCTTTCCTAGATTTAAGATCTCTCAGGTGACTCAAAAGATTCCCCTGTTGAGTGCTGTAGTCGACATTTTCAAGTGCTTAAACTAAGATGTCCCTTCCCAGAAAAAAGGATAATAGCTTTTTTCTTTTTTGTTTCATTCCCCAAAGTGGAATTTTAGGTTGTTAAATTCATATTTAGACCTTTTGGTTATTGGCCTAGTTTTCAAAAGATCCGAGTGCTGTATCATTCCTATTGACGTCAATGGTACATAATACTGTTGAGAGAAAAAAATCACACCACTTATTTAGGTGACTAAATATGCTTTTGGGAAACTAAAATTAGGCTCTCGAGCTTCAAAAAAATCTTGGCTAGAATTCTGTAAACCTTCTGGCACAAGAAACCAGCATTTACTCCTATATATGTTTACATAGATTTTACCCAAAAAAGCATATGTTGAATTCCTTTTTTTAGACAGTTGTTCTATAACATTTATATAGGTATGTTTTTCATTGTTCTTTATTTCTGTATAGCCACACATACTTATTTTAAGATAAACCATTTTAAGTATTATTTTAAAATAGATTAAAATGTTAGGATCATTTTGCTGTCTTGCTTTGAGGCTTTATTTAGTTAATATGTATATTAGCCAATATCTGGCTAATATCAGAGTATCTGGAATTTTCAAAATATTGATTAAAGTGGGTCTCCTAAAAATTAGGAGGAAAAATTTGGTTCAGGACTTCATTAAGTTTTAATAAACAAGGAAATAAATACAATATTATTTCTATAGATAATCAAAAGGATCAAGCAGGGAAGAAACTGTAGAGGTAATGATTTATTTACGCAAAATAGCAGCACAATTCTATGCAGGTCTGTTCAGAAGTAAGCTTCATTGGATTCATGGGATACATACCAGGTAAGTGGATACAGCAGAGCTAGGGAATAGGCGACTCTTTAGATGTTGTAAGGATAGGATCCCCATCAGCCATCCGACAACCATTGGCCATCCTGGAAGGGAGTGATGGCAACTGGAGTCACAGCACCTAGAGGGCAACAGATTTTCCATCTCGGGTGGTGCAGTTGAATAAAAATGAAGAATAAAATGCTTGTTGCATGCGGTCTACAAAGGTACTGGAATCCCAGATGGAGACATAGTTAATGTTTTTTTTTAATTAATCGGCCTGTGTCTTCAGAAAGGATTCTCAGGTTCTTTCCATTTGATACATGTGTGTTCATTTCTCATTATTCGCACATTCCTTAGACTTAATTATTTGCCTTTTCTGTCTTGGTACAGAAAAATATTTCACTCTCCTAACAGTGGTGAGCAATCCAATGCAAACTATGGGTTGTGGCATTTTCTTCCATCCATTTATCTTTCTTTCTTCCAAATTTCCTTCTCCTGCATTGTGTGATACAGTATGAAATTCTGTCTGAGTTGCTGTTAATCATGCTTAATGGTAACCATAATTATGCTTGCAATCAGAATTTAAAGCAATTTAAAATGGAATAATGGAATTCCACCATTGTTTTAAAATTCTTATGCTGGACTTTTGTTATCTTAAACTTTGCTTACTGCTGAAGCACACAGAAAACTGCACATGATTAAAGCAAGCTATGAAAAGGAGGCGGGAGAATTAAATAGGGCAGACAAGGGGAGGGGGATCAGAACATGGAGTGTGGTTCTGATTGAAATCTTATATCTTATTAATGTTTTGATATAAAATTTAAGAGACCTCAACCCCCCACACACATTAACACAAGTGTAGCACCACTCTCTATCAGTTCAGGGGTCCAAATAAAAATGTGCTTTCTTCCTCAGCTTCTGTATTCCTTCTACAGTTTTCATTGTTGTTTTTAGTGTTACTAATGTGTATTTCTGCCTCTCTCATTCTCTCTGTGGATATCACTAAATCCTGATGAATGTGGTATGTTTATGCACCGAAGACCAATTTTGACAGAATTCAGTGCAGTTTAGTTATAGTGAAGTTGTGCTGAATCCTGAGTTCTAAATTGAGGAGTCTGAAATAATGATTCTCTTAGCTGAAAGAATAATAATAATGACCCTCTCTACAAAGTCACTGATGGTTTATTACAAGCATTTATACAGTAAGTGAAACCTCTTAAACCTGATTAAAAAACAGGAAATCTCAGGGCAAAAGATGCCAAACAAACTTCAGAATAAACAACTTTGAAAACTATTGTCACCATGTTTTACAACAGGGATAGACAGAATATAGATCTTCAGATGTTTTGGACTTCAACTCCCAGAAGCCCCTGCCGACATGGCAACTGGTCAGGAATGCCAGGAATGGAAGCCCAAAACATCTGGAGATCTACTTTTCTGCCCACTCTTGATTAACAAAGAATCTTAGGAATTGTGATAATGTGGGTATCTGTGAGTTCCTTGGTGGAGATTCCAGCAGTGTCACTCACATTTCAGAAGGTATCTTGGCTGGAAATTGCTTGTACCACATAGCCCGGAAAGTGATTTTAGTGTAGGCTAATCTTAGATGAGAAACCAGGCATGGCAGCATCGACTGTGGGGCAGT